GTTTTTTTATTAGTTTCTTGTTACTACTCAGCTATTACTATCCTACTCTTCCCAAATCAGGAAAAATTTTACCGACTTTTTTCTACGCGGACAGATCTGACTAAATACTTATTTCGAGGGGAAGTTTAACATCCTGAACATGGATATCGCACCCGCTTGGCCCGAAGCCGCCCGGTTCCCGTGCCACAGACACCGACGCTGAAATGTCTGAATACGATCGCTGAAAACTTGTCTTCAGCGGTAGTTTGATCTCCTGAACACGAATGTCACTGCGTGGGTGCCAGTGGAGTTAAGGATGGAGGAGAGAGGGTACACGCAACAGCACAGCTGGCTGTGCTTGTCTGCACTTTTCCACCAATACAAGATCCCGTCCTCTGCTAACCATGAACCTGAGCCTTATCAAAGAGAAGAAGCACTACTGCAGCCATCCAAAAGGAGTACTGCCCTCTGGTGGTCTCCTATTGCTCCAGTACAGAGTTTGGCACAAAACAGGGTGGAGTCCTCGTTACACGCGCCAAGACAAGCATGTGACTGTAACGCGGGCGTTCGGCGACTTTGTGCCAAACGGGTGTCACATTCCTGACCAGAACAGCGAATAATCCCAGTATGCAAGCTTACACCGATTTTGATGAAGAAGCTAGGGACGCTAAACTAAGGCCCAGCGCTTCGAACAATTGCGACATTCGTGATTAGCGCCGAACACCCTATAGGAAATGAAAAACCGGTTTTGGGTAGTAACAGTTGTAAACTACGTATTACTTGATGCTTCAGTAATTCGGACTGTTGTGGTCCAACAATAATGCCCGCTAATCTTTGCTACCATGAACTACTATGACGCCCAAATTGCTTCCCTTTCGAGCTTTGAGGACCATTGTCAATGATCAGATACTTCATTGAAACTTAGCAGAAAAATCTTGAAAACGTCAAGCGAAAAAACACTCACCTTTGAACCCGTCTTCAACTCGCCTCTTGAAGTGGTGGCATCTGGCAAAGGCGCAACTCACCAGTTGTTTTCACTAAACATGTGTCACTTCACCAACACAAGGACACAGGATGTATCTGAAAACATTCAAGAGTAAGCATTCGTATTGGTACATTTTTTTACTTCATGATTTGCGTCCCTGTTTTATCAATGCAATGGAGATCTCCTGTATGGTCTCCGTCCACGTAACAATGCGAGGACAGCTGTTCGGGGAACATGTAAAGGTCGAGGTACGGTCGCAGTCAGTGAGGTTTCGCAATAACTCAACCCGTTGATGTTTCGCAACAACCTGCTCTTGCGACCGGGTGTTCTCCCATCTTACGACCCAGTAGCAACCCGCCCGCCCCATTAGGCTATTTCGCAACAGTCGTTTGAACCCGTAGATGTCCTGGACACTGAGCACAGTGCACCACCGTTATGGAACATTTTCGTACAACCGAGCGTATTCGGCCGCTGAAAGAGGGGAATCGTATCTCGCCTCGGGGGAATTTCGGCGGTTCTTCTCTTTCAGATTAGGACATCCTTGACCTTTCTTACGCATAATTGCAAAAGAAAGACAGAACTTTAAGATTGCACTGTTCTGCATATCTTAGGACCAAAGAGACAAACGCGAACAAGGGAACACGGCTGCAATGGCAAGAGTGGCTTCTCAGTGTGGATGTCGTCAGCTCCCGCGCACTGGACGTATTCGCACATCGAATCCTCTCATCTCACGGCTTTTTCATATTCTCCATGCCCGGGGGCCCTGTATGGAGTATTCAGCGCAGTTTTTACAAATAGGCTTATCTAAGCTGTTCGTTTTGCAGTGGTAATTAATCTCTGAAATGGGGTTCAATTTGACCAGCTCAAGCTCGGCTTTCTTGCGATGGCATTCGAAATAGCTGTTGCGCTCTGGTAAACCAAGAAGCTGGCAAACCGGTGAAGGAGTATTTGGAAAATGTTATAAGTTCGGTGGACAGCCGAGTTTACCACTTTGTTCGTGTGAACACGAAGTGCAGTGCTTTGCCACGCCTTCTGATATTGCGTCATTCTAGTGTCATTCCGACGTCACTACCTCAGAATCTCAGGATAATGTTGCGATGGTTTTATAGCATCTCAGTTTATCCCACTGTGCAGTCTAATTCAGATATTTTACCGCTATCCTTACTAGTATCTCCAGCACTCTGTTTTTCTATGAATTTCACAAAATGTCTTTACGGGGCCAAGGGCCTTCAACATCCTGTTCATAGCTTAGCTCCAATACAAAATACCGGGCCACTCTATGGTTTTTGAAATATATCGAACCATTACTGCAGTGGTCCCACACTTGTAAACACCCAAGTTTCAGTTTAGGCGTTTCTCCATTTTTTATCTAGTTGAGCTTTCGAAGCCGCAGAGAAACGATTTTTGCCAGTGTCAGGTGTTTGCCTAGGAGAGCCAAATATCTCCGGGGTGGGAGAACCGTTCCCTCAGTCTCAGAAATGGTCTTAGCACTTCATAACGCCTGGTTCACCTAACCGAATTATTCAGAGAACCTCACTATAACCCGATACATTTACAGGACTTCACAAAATGGCCCAGTTTGGTGGCCTAGCGCCCTTAGTTCCAGTAGTATTGATTCGCAGCATTCCCCACCCCCCCCTCCCCCTTTTTTTTCCTGGACACCAGCGACCACCCGCAGCGCCGTGAACCATTCGAACGCCTGGCGTTATCGTTATATTTCCCGCGCAAATGGGAGGGACCTTGGAATACGCGCCAAACAGTGCCATACAAACGCGTTGCCTGATCGGGACTAGTGGTCGTGGCTCGTGGTTTTGGAAAGCTTATGTCATTTTTATGGTCTCAGCATATCTGCAGACCGTGGAACTTTCCTTCTTCTTCCTTTTTTTCCTATTTCGTGTCTGTCTTCACCTTTCCCTTCCTTCTTCCGCTGGGTCAAAAATGAGGAGAAGAACGTCTCTGGACCCTCGAGCAAAAGCCCGGTTGACAGAAGCCCTGTAGCCGATCTCTATAGCTTGTTGAGACCGTCTAGATGAGCTTTTTATCATTCTCTAATTCATTTACCATTAGAAGTTCTTCTAGCGTCTTTTTGGGAGAAGGAGAAGATTCGCTTGTCAGGAGGCTTCTTCTTCCTCAAAACTCAGGCAAAGTGACGCTAACACCGTTACGGGCTTACCACTCGTCAGCGCCTCCACATCCCTTCCTTTTTCGAGACTTAGGCTTACGGAGCGGATCATCTGTGCTTTGGAGTGCTTTCCTCTGTAAATATTTTGTTTTTTCCGCTTCTAATCAGTGTCACCTATGCCTCACTGGACCAGTGACGGCGCGGTCTCCCACGCCCTCTTGAAGCAGTCGTTTCTTCTTTACTTCCAACGCTAGGAAGCTTCCAGTGAAAAGTGCGGTCTAACATTAGGGGTAAGTCAAAGAAGTGGCCTGAAGGTGAAGCTCGCAACACTTCAGGGCTTATGGTTGGCAGGACGGGAGTCTCTCAGAACGGCTCGGTGTCTTGGGCTATCGTACTATTGTGGACCACTAAGGCAACTGGATGAATGGGTAATTCCGTCAAGGGTCCATATCTCGTCTGTGAAAATTTGTCATGGATTCTTCGTATGTGTCCACCTGATTCCCTTCATTGCGTTCATATTGGTCTTTCAGGAAGTTTTTTATCGCCTTGAGCTGTATATCTTGTGTCATGGTTCCCAGAATAGTGTCTATCTACATTTACTTTTTTAGGTACTAACTAGCCCTAACCAATACACTAACAATGCAGCGTCATAGCAGCACCTACGTGGTAAAACGAGGTAAACAGTTTCTCATTGCTGATAGCTTTCTTTGGTTTGCGGAATCGTGGAAATCGTTCTGGACCGATCGGACGCAGAAGAGCGAGGTTCTAGCTAGCGAAGAGTTCGAGCAAATGCGGTCGAAGAACTCGTGTTTGTCTGTGTTATGCTTTTGAAATTGCGTTGCGGACAAAGGCCTAGTTGTGACAAGTAGCGCTGCCCAGCACAGGGGTCAAACCACGGTGCGGCCTTTGTCTGGGGCATCCAACCCTTCTAGCCCTCCATTGGTGGTTATTTGCTAGCAGACATGTGCGGGAGGATAAAACTGCTGACCTTTACATCGACTGGACCTTGCAGGTCATTGCATGTATGTATGCATTGCATTCAAAACGCTATTATGACATTTTAAGTAGAGTGCGGGCGCATTTCACGAAAAGACCAATCAACGAAAAAGTTTCTTAGGTGTTATATCTAGAGTGGCTTGTCCTGCAGCTGACTTAGGCTTGGCGGCCAGGTACTAGGCTCACTTTCGGACGTATGTGTTGTGGGTGATCGTGGGGTCTGGATCGCTTAATTGGTGCCTATCGTGGTAACTTTGTAAGGTGTTATTTTTGCAACCAGGGCATAATTAACACTAATCACTGCACTTATTGCTGTAATCGCTCATGTGGTGCCAAGTGACAAGGTCTGGTAATGATGCCTTCTCATCGTTAAAATAAGGGAGTGTAGAGCTTTGAGACAGTGGTATGCATGAGTCTTTGATAAGACACTGTTCGCATTCTGTGGCGTTAAAGGTCGTCAGATAATCCGCGAGGACGAGAAGAAGGGTGGGAAGGCCGTCCTTATCGAATGGCAACTCGAGAAAAAGGTTTGGGAAGATGATCTTGCCAAATAGAGCGAAGCAGGATCATCCATCCGTGGACAGCAGTGATGTTTCATGAAGATAAGGAGGCTACTTTTTCTTCTACTGCCTCGGAATGTACTGGAACGACCATCGAAACATGTCCCTAGATGCGTTTCTACTTGCAGGTCAGCTTCTTGACCTATCCAGCAAAGTGGAGGTGTACGGGTCTAGCGGTTTTGGAGCATACGCCACTGCGCACGCAGCCTTGAGCAACTAAGAAAGGATAGATGTCGATCTACGTTCTGAGCGTTTCACGGGTAGGCTTAGCAGTCGCTGAAAACGTAAAATGTGATCGCAGCCTCAAGGAGGGAGTCATTTGTTGTTATATGATTTCTTTATTCTCATTTTTGTTTAGATGGAAGGAAAGGAGACCGTCCACTTCGACAAAATCACGGCACGTATCCAGAAACTTTCGTACCGCCTCAATATGGATTATGTCGATCCTGTAAGTGCACTTGTTTTGCTCTGTATTGGTCTTCTCTCAGTGGTGAAGAATATGTGGCATATTTCTAGGTACTGGTAGCTATGAAAGTCATTGGTGGCCTCTACAAAGGAGTATCAACAGTGGAGTTGGACAATTTGGCTGCCGAAACTGCTGCTTCAATGACCACGCAGCATCCCGATTATGCCATTCTGGCTGCTAGAATTGCTGTCTCAAACTTGCATAAGAAAACCGGCAAGGTAAGACCTTTTCAATTCTTTGGAGGCACGTTCCGCGATAAACTTGGGCTACATTCCTCGAGTGGGTCAGATGATTCTGTTGGCGATTGCGAAGGCTGCACTATAGTTGAAAAAAATTTGCAATAATTCCTATGGAAGCGGGCATTCAGGACCACGAGCTTAGGCTCACAGCGACCGCCGGTGGCTTTTAGGTACTAGTTAGTTAGCACCAAAAAGTTAGTGGCCGGTCTATTTACTCTTTTCTTTGCTATTTAATTTGTTAATAATTACCCACCACCTGCGATCGCGGGTTCTGCCTTCAAGTCAATATCAAATAGCAAGTTCTACCGACTTACTGTGTTGTTAAGTTTTGAGTTATTGGTTCAGGTGTTTTCCGAGGTTATGGAGAAACTGTACAATTTCCATCACCCTTTAACAGGAGAGCACTCCCCTATGATCAGTGAGGAGACATACGACATCATCATGAGGCATGCGGAGGTAAGATTCTTCATTTTCGTTTCCTTTTACAGTAAGTTTAACACCAATTGTGCTTCAGAGGCTCAACTCGGCTATTGTTTATGATCGTGACTTCTCGTACACCTACTTTGGCTTCAAAACTCTTGAGCGTTCTTATCTCTTGAAGATCAACAAGGAGGTCAGTTTGCTTGTCAGCAATAATTTTTAGTTCTTCCTTTGACGACTTCCTAATTTTTTTTTGCAAAAGGTTTATTTTTCAGGTTGCAGAACGTCCTCAGCACATGCTAATGCGAGTTGCCATTGGAATTCATGGAGAGGACATCGATGCGGCCATCGAAACGTACAATCTTATGAGCGAACGATATTTCACACATGCTTCTCCCACATTGTTTAATGCCGGAACGAAGTGGTTCGTTCTTTGCTCCAAGTTCTTAACTTTGTGGGGGGGGCAAGCTTTCTATGCGTCCCTTATACGTTTCTGGATAGCTTTTCGCCTTCAGTATAACGGCTTTTAGGCCTCAACTGTCATCGTGCTTCCTTCTGACAATGAGCGAAGATTCTATCGCGGGTATCTACGACACCCTTAAACAATGTGCACTGATCTCCAAGAGTGCTGGAGGAATTGGTTTGAACGTCCACAATATTCGAGCTACTGGATCTCTGATAGCGGGAACAAACGGCACGTCGAACGGTTTAATCCCTATGCTCCGTGTGTACAACAACACTGCCCGTTACGTGGACCAAGGCGGTAATAAGCGCCCGGGAGCGTTCGCCATTTACTTGGAACCATGGCATGCTGATATTTTCGAGTAAGGTTCTACTCCTAGTTTCTAATTGGGTATGCTGTGTGCGCTTAATAATGATTCATTCAGATTTGTTGCGCTGAAAAAGAACACTGGCCCCGAAGAGGAACGTGCACGTGATTTGTTCTATGCTCTGTGGATACCTGATCTCTTCATGAAGAGAGTGGAACGTGATGAAGATTGGTCCCTTATGTGCCCTCATGAATCGCCTGGCCTGCACGAGTGCTGGGGAGAGGAGTTCGATGAACTTTACACGAAGTATGCGCGCGTTTGTTCTAGTTAAAAGCTTCTCAAAAATTCTAAAGTATATCTTATAAAAGTCCCGAAATTTTTCAGTGGTAAAGAATGAATGGGGGTTAGGATCTTATAAAAGGCAGCGCACATGTTTCAGCTAAGGTTGCGTCGATGACTTTGCGTTTGGCGTGCCAACCGCAACGCAGCGTTTCATGCGTACGCCAGCACCAGCGACTAGGAAAATTAGGTATCGTTCTAGCGGTATGCCAGCGTACAGCAGCGTTTCGAGCGACGTTGACGCAGAGTGTGATTCAGCAAAAAGCAATAGTAACAAACGGCTCACCTTTTGAACGTTAGACACCTACCCGCTCGGTATATAAGTGGCTAAAGTTTCTTCGAGCCTCAGAAGAAAGATCACCACTGAACCCACCAACAGCCTTTTTAGGTTCTACCCCTCATTTCTAGTATTCTCATTTGCTCGTTTTTCTTACTTACTCGAAGATTGTTATGCGAATACTCACCTACAGATATGAAGCAGAAGGTCGCTATCGCAAGCAAGTGAAAGCCCGTAAATTGTGGGAGCACATCGTGTCCAGCCAGATCGAAACGGGAACTCCTTACATTCTATACAAGGTGAATTACTTATTTTCAACAAAAAGGTGCTGTCCCGTTTTGCACAGGTTGAAGTTACAATTTAGGATGCTTGCAATAGGAAGAGCAACCAGCAGAACCTGGGCACTATCAAGTGTTCTAACCTATGCACGGAGATTGTGGAGTACTCCAGTAAGGATGAAGTGGGTGTTACAGAGGTTATACATCTCTTTGGTTGTTTATTGATGGAATCTTTGTTAAGGTAGCCGTATGTAATCTTGGTTCGATTGCCCTTAACAGATTCGTAACAGAAGACAAGAAGTTTGACTTCAAGAAGCTTCATGAGGTTGCTAAGGTGAGAGTTGTATCCCTGTACACAATAGGATTTTACATGACCTTTTCTACAAAAATGGGTTAAGGTGCTAACCCGTAACTTGAACAAGATTATCGAAGTCAATTACTACCCCGTTGAAGAAGCACGACGTTCCAACTTCCGTCATCGGCCGATTGGACTTGGAGTACAGGTAGAGTCCACTCTCAGAAGTTTCTGAAAAGGGTACTATTTTTAGAACTCACCAGATCTGCAAGAGTGGGTTTTGCAGGGACTTGCTGACGCCTTCATGCTGATGCGCTATCCATTCACGTCGCCTGAGGCCCGCGATTTGAACCGCAGGATCTTCGAGGTTATCTATTACGCTGCTCTTGAAGCCTCCTGTGAACTTGCCGAGAAGTATGGTTAGTGTGGTGCTCCTAAAATACATTTATTTGTCTAGGGCTCGGCCCCTGTATAATGTGCTACTTATAGGACCCTATGAAACTTACGAAGGTTGCCCAGTGTCTAAGGGAATGCTTCAGTTCGATATGTGGAACGTTAAGCCAACGGATCAGTGCGACTGGGATACGCTCAGAGAGAAGATCAAGAAGTGCGTTGTCAAAGGTTAAATTTGCCCAAGGGTTTATGTTGCCATTTTCAGACATGGAGTTCGCAACAGTTTGTTGATTGCTCCCATGCCAACTGCGTCGACGGCTCAAATCCTTGGCAACAACGAGTCCATCGAGCCTTATACCTCGAATATCTACAGCCGAAGAGTGCTGTCAGGCGATTTCCAAATTGTCAATCCGCATTTGCTCAAGGACTTGGTGGATCTGGGCCTATGGGATGATGATATGAAGAATCAGCTAATTGCTAACAACGGATCAATTGCCAAGATAGCTGTGAGTTTTTATTACTGTTTTGGTACGTAGGATACTAGTATTGTTAACTAGCATCGTTGAAGGGTATTCCCGATCACATCAAGCGGCTCTACCAGACGGTATGGGAGTTGCCGCAGAAGGATATAATTGAAATGGCTGCTGACAGGTAGGTACAAACCTGGCTACTTTATTCAGAATACTGTTAAGGTGACCTAGATGTTTTTGTTTACAGAGGAGCTTTCATTGATCAATCACAGTCACTGAACATTCATATCGCTCGACCAAGCTACGCAAGTATCACGTCCATGCACTTTTACGGATGGAAGAAGGTACTAAAAACCGAATATTTTGACTATTGATATTGTTCAGCACGCTCGCGACATTCGCACCGGAACCAAATTTTCAACGTGAATGCTGCAATGTATCAAGTCGACTAGTTGGGGAAAAACTACACTAGTTAGCGCGTGATGCTACGACGCAGATGGCCTGGGCGGTATGGGTTCGCACGGAGTCATACCCGTTCTCCACCAGTTGTTGAAGGAAACAACCAACAAGACTGCATCGTAACAGTTTTTCCACATATTTTGTCATTCCGCGACGAATCCATACAGCCTGACACACCTCTTCTTCCTACCGGACTACGCTTTCTCCAAACTGGCCCCTCCGTAGTTTTCAAACTTTTCCATTGTCTGAAACTCGTTTTCATCTATTTCATCAACAATTTATCTTCAGGGGTTGAAAACTGGCATGTACTATTTGCGCACGAAACCAGCTGTGAATGCTGTGCAGTTCCACTGGTGAAAGGAAGCTCTGAAACGAAGGAGCAGAAAAAGATAGCGCGTGCGGTTGGTTTCTCACCCATCATTAAAATACTTAAAGAAGGATCTGAACTCACCATTAGAGTGAAGTCTTGCTTTATCGCTCCGAATGATTTTGCCCTTTTAGGCCGGTGATGCTGCTCGAGCAATAGCTGCTATGACAGTTGAAGAAGAAGGATGTCTTATGTGCTCCGGTTGATTATTGATCTCTCAATATTGTTTTCCTTGTACCATTTGAAACGGTGTTATCTTATTACTTTGATCTTGGTGACATTAACATCCTTTCATTTATTTTTCCCGTTTTTCCCATTCTCACTTCCCAATCTAACCTAAACAACGAGTAAAATGACCTCATATGACAGGTTGTAAATATTGAATTTCGTGGCTTTAGCTATTTGTCTCATTAGCCTTGCATGTAACGATAAAAGGTTTCGCCACAGTTTTCTGTAAAGCTTACTATATTGAGAGCTTTCTCATCAGGGAGGAGGATTATGTGAGCTTGTTATCCTGGAATAGCATATAAGCTTCAGCACAGATTGTCTTTAAAGATCAACAGAGCGCTGATTTGGGTTCCTCAATGTCTTATTTGAACATTAGCGCCAGGGGTGAAGAAGTTTTCAAGTTTTTTCGTTTCCCACCAATTGTGGTTACCAGCCTACCGCCACGATTGGTGGAAAACGTTCTGGGCGCACACGCCCCTTCATTCGCAGCGAACAAAATAGCACGTGCCTGATTCTCATCATGAGGAGACCTATTGTTAGCCGATGCAATATTTTCGGGGATTCTCCGAACTAGTTGTGTAGCGCTATGGATGCTGAGGCGTGTATGGATGCTGAGGGTTGGGTTTGGAGCTACGTCAGCCGGTTCTCCACCATTTGGTGAAGTGGGGCAATCGCGGAGTTATGAAATGGTCAAACTTTGAAGGGGAGACTTAGAATCGAGTTAGTGCCTTTCGATTTCGCTAATTCCGTTCTACATGCTTTTTGTTGGAATTTCGACTCCCAGGTTGGTACATGTCCGTTACTTCAATTATAGGAGTCCACAGTACGTTACTGGTATACGTAAATGTGACAGGACCACTTCCTATGATAGCTGAATAGCGTGAGGCGTGCATTGTCCGCACAACAGCTTGATGCAAAAAAAACACAGAAGGGCGGGGCACATCGTTGTTGGGGATTCCTCAACATGAGGGGGGTCGTCGCTGGGAGAGGGCCCCCCTCCCTCTGCTCGACAGCAAAATTGGGCGCAGTTTGTCGACGGGGGGGGGGCATTTTGCTTTCCATAGATGTGTCGACCCATCTAGGCAGCCGTTTCTCGAGTTGACACGTTTTAGGATAGTGGCTAGACGATCTTACTTCAGCTTCACAAGAGTTCACAAGTTTTACCAGAGTGAGATTTGTAAACCGGAACTAGGGAAGCAATGATAATACAAAATGCCCCCCCCTCCCCCCCTCCCCGTCGACAA